GCTTTTTTCTTTTTGCTTATGTGGTGCTGAGGAATCGAACCCAGGGCCTTGAGCATGCAAGGCAAGTGCTCTACCACTGAGCCACCTTCCCAGCCCTGTTTTATAATTTTTAAAAAACACATTTTGAATGACAGTAAAATATTCAATTATATTTACTACTGACATTCCTTCTTCATTTTACTCTATTGTTACAATTCTAGACAAGAATTCTACAACCTGGACTGCTTCTGATTTTCTTCTTCAAATATAGACATCCCCCACTCCAAAATCAGTAAAGATCCTTGGATACCTAAAATTCTAAATGAAAGTTTAACTATTAATTTTTAATGGACATGGTTTATAGTAAATTGGGAAAGAAGTCACAATATTAAAATGATTACAGCTTATCAAGTCAACTGAGGCTTAACCTAACCACATCCTTTTTTTTTCCTTTTTGCTCCTTAATTTTCCTTTGTCTTAATAAAAATTAGGTGAAATGTTCCCAAAATTATTACTTAAACTTGAAAGCCTATATACCTGTGAACTGGTCCAACTTATTTTTTATTTGTCAATCAAACTTCATGTTACCTAGAAAATAGTTAATGACAAATTTTTGAAAACATGTATACTTCATGGAAGCTGAATATGAAACATTTTAACCATATTTTCAATAACTGAAACTTTATTATGATCATAGTAAAAATATAAGATGCCGTAAAACTTCATGAGTTTTATGCCAAAGAATATTTTTCAAAGTCTTCAGAGGGTTTGGACACCTGCTGTAATTATATCTAACATTAAAAATATTGGAAAATATTACAAAGCACTCCAAACCAGAAAAAAAACATTATTTTTTTCAAAAATATCTGCGTTCAGAACAGGTTATCAAAATCATAATTGGGATCATAATGCATTTATCTTGCACTGTACTTTACTAGGGAACTGAGCTACTACTACTCATTATAAGGTATTTCTCACTTCCCTCCTCTATGGTCTGTCACTTCTGAATTATTATAACACTAACTTCCCAAATGCTCAGGTCAAAGATCTAATTTCACTTTTGACTTGTCTTTCAATTTCCTTTAGTCCAATAGCAAATTACATTGTTGCTCCTCTCTACTTGTAACTAAAACAAATAATTTTCCACCACATCTTCTGTATGTCACTACCTCTAACCATTGTGTATGTTATGTGCCTCTATCTTGGTTCCTCACTTGTTTCAAATAGTCTGTGCTGAATAAGACCAAAACCAAATAGAACCATTTCAGGTTCTATAGAATAGGAATTTGTTTCCTTTCTCTATATGCAATCTTCCAGTAAATTTTCATATCCCTCCAGTGACCTTTAAAGTCCTTCATGATGACACTTCTCTACGCAGTCATGTACTACACATGTATATACACATGTACATACAAATCTCATACAAAACACATACATGTGTAAATGCATACGTACATGCATGGAGATACATATCTCTATCACCTAGATGTATACACACATCTGAAATATATAACTATGCCTTTTTTCATAATCTGCATTTTAATTATTCTCCTAAGCAAGATTTTTCCTTAGTGTTCTGTTGCTACTGCCTCACAGGGATCTTTCATAGTCTTTCTTTAGGACTTTATTTAAATATTATCCTATCAATAAGCCAAACCATTTTCCCACCGGCCCTTCTGATCCTCTGTACCTCTGAAAAACTGTATACTCTTTATTTTCTTCCACACCACTCCAAGCCCCAAACCCTCATCATGTATACTACAGTATAAATCTCACTTTACTTTGCTTTTTGTTTTGTTTCATTTGATTTGCTTTCAGTTATGGGGATCAAATCTAGTGCTGTATCTGTGCTAGATAAACTCTCTGCCAACTCGTATTCCATTTTCAAGGCAGGGTCTTCTGCCTGCTTCATTCACACTGTATTTTTAGCAGCTGGTATATATCTTGGCACATACTAAGTATTCTAAAAGTTTCTTGAACAATGAACTGGAAAGTATGTGTTAAAATTGTTAAGAGTTACTGTATCATATTTTTCTACTTGATATATTTATATGGTATGTGCATAACATTGTCTTCGTGGTAATTTTCTTCCTATCTTTTTATGTTAAAATATGGATTAGATGTCATCCTCGTTGATAAAATATAAAATATCCTGCCTTATAGAAATGAAATGACATACTATGAAATTGCTGCTATTTTATATAAGTTGCTTCATTAAGCTAAAAATAATGTTAATTTTTTAAACTTTATTCAAGGGCCACCTGAAGTTCAAAGTTTTTTGTGTTTTAGAGGAAAGATATACATTCTCTGAAGAATAATATCTATATGATGTCCTTTATAAAATTTTATTTTCTGAGTGAAAAAAATCTGTGAACAAAACAGAATTATATAGAAACTTAAGCAATCAACAAAGATGGTATTTCCTTGGTCTCATTGTTTATTTATAGGAAGGACTGTGCCCCAGCTGTGTAACAGTATGATCTTTGCTCAGGGACCATATAGGTACAAGTAAAGTTTCTAAGACACCTCCCAATAGTATTGCTCATATATATTTCAAGAAGGGTGAAGTAACAAGAAAAAATGCCTTCATAAAAATTTTGTCATTGGTACATGGATTCTTAAGAAATATTTAAATTGTTTATTCAAATTATTAAAATATATCCCATGACACAATATCATGGGCAGCAAAAATACAGATTCCATAAAAACAGACTGATTATAGAACAATTGTATCATTGGATAAACCGGGTTTCAGGGAACCAAAGCAAAGCCTTTTCATCAGTAACATGGAATACAGTTGCTTTCTGTTTCTTTTTAAGTATGTTTCAGTTAAAAGTTAGGATGGCCTACAGCTTGCACAGAGTATTAGACCATTTATTACTCTGAATGTGTTTCTCGGCTTCCCAGTGTAGCTTGGTAGTCTCCAGTAAGCTTAACATAAACTTGATTTTCCTTCATGGTTAGAAATAGTCTGATAGCCAGGCGC